TGACTTTTGCTGCTGCCTGGTGTTCAACATCGCTTGTTTTGCTGTCACAGTTGACCTGGGAAACCCCAGTGGGAGACCCATTACAGCAGTTCTGACCAACTCCGGTGTGAGACCCGAGTCCTGCCATTGCCATGTTCAGCCTAATGAAAAATGAAATTAAAAAGATCAAGCTTTAAATGCTGTCAATAATAAAATTGGCTTTTTACAAAAAAAGTTCAAAGAGTTCCGACTTTAACATGCTCTACAATATCAACATAATATATAACAACGTAACACAACATAATTCCGACGTGTTGTCTTTCTCGCATTTGAATAAATTTGCTTTTATGTTGTTCCAAAATCATAATTTGTGAGATCTTACAATCAATCACTCACACCACCAATCTCTTAAAACATTTTATATCATAATATTTATTACTTCTACGACTACGAACAATGGGTAAAATGACCCCATTCGCTAGGCTGGAAAGAGTCGGCAGTATAGTCTATAGGTTTGGTCACCAGGCTTCTCTATTTACTGTTTTACAAATCAGTTCTATGCGTTTCTAGGCTAGGCTTTGTAATGTACGCCTTGTGCGATTCTTCATAATACAATTAACATTTCCATATAATTTCACGTACTCTAAAAAGGCCACTTTGCCTGATGCAAATCGACGTACATGTAAGTGGCGAGGGTCGAACGTATGCTAGGCTTCGCCCCCCTCCCCCTTTAATTCAACGATATTCACATCCCAAAAATGCCTACAAATTATCATCCTACTGCGGTTCTTTTTCCACAGAAATGGTCTTAAACTATTCCAATCAACATCAGAACTTTTTTCTGTCCGTTTCTAAGCCTTACCTGCTTCCTATGATGGTTTTTCTCTTCACGTAAACCGGAACTCGGGCAGCTTTGTCCTTCTGTCGTCTTGTTAGGTCAGAGGTGAACGCTATCCGGGTCAAGAGTGAAGTTGTCTGCCTGATTACCCATGTAGTACATTTGACGTCGGTTTGCACGTTACGTGTTTCTTCATAATGTGAACATTCTGCGTTTCAAACAGACCACCTTAACAACGTAACAAGCGCCTGACATTTGTTTCTGATATCATATGAGAGATTTTTAGGGAATGAATGTCAAGCCAAACTGTTTGGTCTGAATCTTGATTTCTGTGTTTTATGTGTTTTATGATCAAATCACCACCTCGGACAATATTCCATCCAAGGAAAAAAGCAACACAGAAGGAAACATTGTGATCAAGGTACATAACGATTTAATTGTGTTAGCGGAAAATTTCATGGATACAACTTCTAAAAGTAATGCAAAACAAACAGGAACTTTTACTCGTATCCAATATAACGCCTACGTTTTCACAACTGTGAAGTACTTCCTACTATTGGAAACTGAAGCAAGTCGGTCATTTCACACCGATGCAAATTAGCATAAAGGTTTTACTACAAACCAAACGCTAGTTTCCTGAGTATATGTTAGTCAAAAGATATTCTTGTGTCTGTAAGACATACAGACAAACACTTGACAAAGTGAAGGATTAACAAGAAATCGAAGCTCCTTCAATGGCTTCATTCAAACAAACTCAACGTTACCTTCCACCTTTCAACTACTGTTTACAATCACTTACCGATGTTAATTGCTGTATATGTACATTATCCAAACAATACCATCAAGTTTACTGCTCTAAAACTAAAATTCTAGACATGTAAAGAAAGATGATGGTGCAATGTTCAAAATAGTCGACATTTAATATCGGGTGTATGTACTTCTCTCCGGAAAACTCGTCGTCGACATTTATCAATTCATAAGATTGACTTGACTATTTAAAGGCTGACTAAGAAGTATTCCATAGTTTTACAGTGATAAGAAATGTTGTGGATAAAGTATATGACCATGACATTTCCTCGGCAAAAGACTTGGCCTATTGGCAAATTTTATCCATTCTCTTATGGCATATTTAGCCTTAATGTTTTAGCCATTACTGTGATTGGGCATGATTTGGCCATGATTTGGCCATGTTTTGCAACATTGCACCTTTCCACAGCAGTGGAAACAAGCACTTGTCTCAGCCGTTCCTAAGAAGCCAAGACCGAACTTTCCCACGGAGTACCGGCAGATATCTGTGGTCAGTTGTGTAGGCAAGGTGTACGAGGGCCTTCTGCGTGACTTACTCTTACAAGACACCGCGAACACTCTGCTACAGTCACAACACGGTTTCCTACCAAAGCGGTCCACTGTTACAGCTGCTTTGATTCACATCCTTCAAAGCTGGCATGAGGCACTTAACAGCAATCCCAAGTTAGACATCCACGCGGTTTTTGTTGACTTCAGCCGGGCATTTGATACCATAAACCACGGTCAACTACTCTTAACCCTGGCAGACTTCGGTGTGAGGCGGGATCTGTGGTTATCCATACGCAGTTACCTGGAGGGTAGGTCCCAACGGGTCAAGTGGGGATCCTGTCTGTCTAAACCACATGATGTTTTGGCAGGTGTGCCTGAGGGTGGACTGCTATCCCCACTACTCTTTGTCATCTGTATTAACTCGTTGGACACCTGCTTACCGTCCTCTGTGCTCCCGGTCAAGTATGCTGACGATTTAACAAACTCTGAATTCTTAATGGGGTCGCTTCCGGGTCAAACCTAGAGAGCACCGGACGCCATCACTGAGTGGTCTGTGCCATTCTCACTGGCAACAAATGGCGACTAAGGACATGATTGTCAGCGCGAGGAGGAAGGAGAATGTGCCCGTTCCCCCACACCCTACCGTAGATGGTAAGCAGATCGAAAGGGTTGTCATGTTCAAGCTTCTTGGTGTACAGATCTCTGCGGACCTTACATGGGACGCCCATGTTCAGTACATGCTATCTAAGACCCGACCCAGAATCTACTATCTCGCTGCCGCCAGGAAAGCTGGACTTTCCACGGATGTACTCACTCAGATCCAGAGATCTACGTGTCTTTTATTCGTCCGATCTTGGAGTACGCCAGTCCCGTTTGGGGGGGGGGGGGTCTACCCAATCGTCTGGCTTACACTCTCGAAGGAGTCCAGAAACGCTGTTGCAGAATAATGGGCATTTCTCCGAACTCCTCGCCGACCTTGGCGTCCAGACGTGACCAGGCAACACTACGTGTCCTCCTGAGTATCCTGGACGATAAGGTCAACCCGCTGAACTGTTTCATTTCCCGTCCTTTACACAGTGGCTATGACCTCCGGCGAGTCAGACATGTTATGACTTCACAAAGCCGTACAAAGAGACATGAACTTTCGTTCTTTCCTAGAGCGATTATGTTGTATAAGAATAAGAACTGAACTCTGTTCATCATGAGTGCTTTGTATTTTTAACTAGTTTTTACTTATGCTGCTTCTAATCGTTGTCTTCATGTTGAGAGCTTTTACTGTAATTGTCTATGAATTTCATGTCACATTTTGAGAGCTTTTACTGTAATTGTCAACGAATTTCATGTCACATTTTCTGTGAATCTGTGTACATGCCAGTGGATTTAAATAAACTTGAACTTGAACGTGATATGTCCTTAGCCTCGAGATAGAGAAACTAAAGTGAGGGGAACGTCACAACGAGATGGTCACAGTTGCAGACTTGGTGCCTCCGTGTGAATTTTCATGTGTTGAGTTAGGGAAGACTTGGAGGATGCAGAATAGCTACACTGGTCACACTTGTAGGGTTTTTCTGTTATATGGGTTCTCATATGTTTGGATAAGTGAGACTTTTTTGATGCCCTGTACCCACACTCCCCACACATGTAGGGTTTCTCACCGGTTTGTTTTGCTAGATGTTTGTCCAAATGAGTTTTCCGTGATGCAGAATAGTCACACTGGTCACATTTGTAGGGTTTTTCTCCTGTATGAGTTCTCATATGTTGGGATAAGTTGAACTTTTGAGCTGTCCTGTATCCACACTCTCCACACATGTAGGGTTTCTCACCGGCCTGTTTTGCTTCATGTCTGGCCAAAGTGGATTTCCCTGCTGCAGAAAAGTCACACTGGTCACACTTGTAGGGATTTTCTCCTGTATGGGTTCTCATATGTCGGGATATGCTGGACCTGTCACCTGTCCTGTATCCACATTCCCAACACATGTAGGGTTTCTCACCGGTGTGTTTTGCTTTATGATCATCTAAGGTGCCTTTCTGTGCTGCAGAATAGTCACACTGGTCACACTTGTAGGGTTTCTCACCAGTGTGTGTTGCTTTATGATTATCTAAGGTGCCTTTCTGTGCTGCAGAATAGTCACACTGGTCACACTTGTAGGGTTTTTCTCCTGTATGTGTTCTCATATGTTCGGATAAGTGAGACTTGCGAGTTGTCCTGTATCCACACTCCCCACACATGTAGGGCTTCTCACCAGTGTGTTTTGCTTTATGATCATCTAAGGTGGACTTCCGTGCAGCAGAATAGACACACTGGTCACACTTGTAGGGTTTTTTTCCTGTATGAGCTCTCATATGTTTGGATAAGTCAGAATTTCTAGCTGTCCTGTACCCACACTCCCCACACATGTAGGGTTTCTCACCAGTGTGTTTTGCTTTATGATCATCTAACGTGGACTTCCGTGTTGCAGAATAGTCACACTGGTCACATTTGTAGGGCGTTTCTCCTGAATGGGCTCTCATATGTTTGGATAAGTCAGAATGTCTAGCTGTCCTGTACCCACACTCCCCACACATGTAGGGTTTGCCACCAGCATGCATTGTTAGATGTTGGTCCAAAGCATATTTCCATGCAGCAGAATAGTCACACTGGTCACACTTGTAGGGTTTGTCTCCTGTTATGGGTTCTCATATGTATGGATAAGTGAGACTTGTAAGCCGCCCTGTACCCTAACTCCCCACACATGTAGGGTTTCTTACCAGCGTTATTCAAGTTGACTTGTTGTGCTGCCGCCTGGTCTTCAGCATCGCTTCTTTTGCTGTCACAGTCGACCTGGGAAACTCCGGTGGGAGACCCACCACAGCAGTTCTGACCAACTCCGGTGGGAGACCCGTGTCCTGCCGTTGCCATGTTCAGCCTAACGAAAAAAATGAAATTATACAGATTAAGCGTTATAAGCTGTCAATGATAAAATAGAATTTATAGAAAACAAGTTTTAAAAAATGTCTAACTTCACCAAGCTTTACAATTTTAACCTAATGCATTACAACGTAACCCAACATAATTCTAACGTGTTGTCTTTCTCGCATTTGAATAAATTTGCTTCTATGTTGTTACAAAATCATAATTTGAGATCTTACAATCACGTGCACTCACTCCTCACAACACCAATCTCTTTAAACATTTTATATCATATTATCTATTACTTCTACGACTACGAACAATGGGTAAAATGACTCCATTCGCTAGGCTGGAAAGAGAGTCGGCAGTATAGCCTATAGGTTTGGTCACCAGGCTTCTCTATTTACTGTTTTTACACACATGCGGTGAACTTCTGTTACCTGAGTATGCGGTGAACCTCTGATCTCGGAATGCCATAATGTTCAGCAAAAGATGAACGTGGGCATAACAAGGAAGAAGAAGAAGAAGAAGTTCTACGCTTTTCTAGATTTTGTAATGTACGTCCTGTGCGATTCTTTACAATACAATTAACATTTCCATATAATTTCACGTGCTCTCAAAAGGCCACTTTGCCCGATGATAATCGACGTACATGTAAGTGGCGAGGGTCGAACGAACGTATGTTTGGTTTCGCCCCCCTCCCTCTTTAATTCAACGATATTCACATCCCGAAAATGCCTACAAATTATCGTCCTACTGCGGTTCTTCTTCCACAGAAATGGTCTTAAACTATTCCCTCAACATTAGAATACTTTTCTGCTCGTTTCTAAGCCTTACCTGCTTCCTATGACGGTTTTTCTCTTCACGTAAACCGGAGCACTATTGCATTATATACTTAATCATGATATAAATGGAGAGAAACTGTATATAGCTAAGCGAACATTGTGCACACAAAATGTCACTACGAGATAGTCACAGTTGCAGAGTTGGTGCCTCCGTGTGAATTTTCATATGTCGAGATAGGATAGCATTAGAGGCTGCAGAATAGCTACACTGGTCACACTTGTAGGGTTTTTCTACCGTATGGGTTCTCATATGTTGGGATAAGTTGGACTTTCTAGCTGTCCTGAACCCACACTCCCCACACATGTAGGGTTTCTCACCGGTGTGTTTTGTGAGATGATCGTCTAAATGAGACTTCCGTACTGCAGAAAAGTCGCACTGGTCACATTTGTAGGGTTTTTCTCCTGTATGGGTTCTCATGTGTTGGGATAAGTGAGACTTTTGAGTTGCCCTGTATCCACACTCCCCACACATGTAGGGTTTCTCACCAGCGTGTTTTGCAAGATGTTGGTCCAAATCATATTTCCGTGCTGCAGAATAGCCGCACCGGTTACACATGTAGGGTTTTTCTCCTGTATGGGTTCTCATATGTCGGGATAAGATGGACCTGTCACCTGTCCTGTACCCACACTCCCCACACATGTAGGGTTTCTCACCGGTGTGTTTTACTAGATGTCTGTCCAAACTGGATTTCTGTGCTGCAGAATAGTCACACTGGTCACACTTGTAGGGTTTTTTTCCTGTATGGGTTCTCATATGTCGGGATAAGTGAGACCTGTCAGCTGTCCTGTACCCACACTCCCCACACATGTAGGGTTTCTCACCGGTGTGCTTTGCTACATGTTCCTCTAACTTAGATTTCTGTGCAGCAGAATAGTCACACTGGTCACATTTGTAGGGTTTTTCTCTTGTATGGGTTCTCATATGTTCGGATAAGTGGGACTTTTTAGCTGTCATGTACCCACACTTCTCACACATGTAGGGTTTCCCACCAGCGTTATTCAAGTTGACGTGTGCTGCCGCCTGGTCTTCAGCATTGCTTGGTTTGCTGTCACAGTCGACCTGGGAAACCCCGGTGGGAGACCCATCACAGCAGTTCTGACCAACTCCGGTGGGAGACCCGTGTTCTGCCGTTGCCATGTTCAGCCTAATGAGAAAACTTAAGCGTTAAAATTTAAAGCTGTCAATGATTAAATTGGATTTGTAGAAAACAAGGTTTAAAGAGACACAATTTTACTAAGCTTTAAAATGTCAACCTAATATATAATAACGCAATCCAACACATGATTCTACCCATTTCTAAATTCGTAATTTGCACCTTATGTGCTTCTTTACAATTCAGTTAACATTTCTATATAGTTTTACGTACTCTAAAAAGGCCACTTTGCCTGATGCAAATGGACGTACATGTAAGTGGCGAGGGTCGAGCGTATGTTAGGTTTCGCCCCCCTCCCCCTTCAATTCAACGATATTCACATCCCGAAAATGCCCACAAATTATCATCCTACTGCGATTCTTCTTCCACAGAAATGGTCTTAAACTAATCCCCTCAACATTAGAATACTTTTCTGCCCGTTTCTAAGCCTTACCTGCTTCCTATGATGGTTTTTCTCTTCACGTAAACCGGAACTCGGACAGCTCTGTCCTTCCGGCGTCTCGTGAGGTCAGAGGTGAAAACTCTTTGGGTCAAAGGTGAAGTTGTCGGCCTGATTACCCATGTATTACATTTTACATCAGATGGCAAGTTACGTTTTAGTTTCCACATAATATCAGCGTTTTACACTTCAAACAGACCAGCTAAACAACAAAAGGGAAAAATTACTAAAGAAATTAATGTCAAGCCAAACTGTTTGGCCTGAATCTTGATTTCTGTGTTTTATGATCCACTTACCACCTCGGACAACATTCCAAGGGGAGGAAGCAACACAGGAACAAGGAAACATCATGTTCAAGGTACATAACGATTTAATTATTTCAGTGCAAAATATCTGTAGATACATCTTCGGAAAAAAATACCCCCCAAAAAACGAACTTTTACTCGTAGAGTCTCGTATACAACATAACGCCTACGATTTTACTATTGTAAAATTACTAATGTTGGAAGCTGAAGCGAACCAAATGCTAGTTTACAGAGTTGATATTTTAGTCAATATATTTGTTGTACATATAGGCGCGCAACTTGTCAAAGTAACTATTAACAAGCCGAAGCTCCATTCATACTATTACAACGACTATGTTTCATCTATTGTCTACAATCACTTACCTATGTTAAGTACTGATTATATGTACATGTATATGTACATTATCCAATAAATACTTTCAACTTAAATGTTCTTCTACTTCAGTTCTAAATAACTAAAAATATGATTTCTGTTCTAAACAATTGATACCTACTATTAAAGAACAAAGTGTGCATTAGGCTTCTAAGAAATATTCTTGTAACTGAACCTTTGTTGGGTAATCAGAACGCAGTGCATGCAGTGCAAAGTACATGACAATGACGTTTCATAGGGAGAAGGCTTTCCCATTTTGCAAATTTTGTTAATTTTTACAAAATATTTCGCCTATTTTTCAAAGAAGATATTGAGCACTATTGCATTATATACTTAATCATGATATAAATAGAGAGAAACTGTATATAGTTAAGCGAACATTGTGCACACAAAATGTCACTACGAGATAGTCACAGTTGCAGAGTTGGTGCCTCTGTGTGAATTCTTACATGTTGAGTTAGGGCAGACTTAGTGTCTGCAGAATAGCTAGACTGGTCACACTTGTAGGGTTTTTCTCCTGTATGGGTTCTCATATGTCGGGATAAGGCAGACTTGTAAGCCGTCCTGTACCCACACTCCCCACACATGTAGGGTTTCTCACCAGCATGCATTTCTAGATGTGAGTCCAAATGAGCTTTCTGTGCTGCAGAATAGTCACACTGGTCACACTTGTAGGGTTTTTCTCCTGTATGGGTTCTCATATGTTGGGATAGGTGAAACTTTTTAGCTGTCCTGTACCCACACTCCCCACACATGTAGGGTTTCTCACCGGTGTGTTTTGTGAGATGATCGTCTAAATGAGACTTCCGTGCTGCAGAATAGTCACACTGGTCACACTTGTAGGGTTTTCCTCCTGTATGGGTTCTCATGTGTACGGATAAGTCAGACTTTTGAGTTGCCCTGTACCCACACTCCCCACACATGTAGGGTTTCTCACCCGTGTGTTTTGCTAGATGTTGGCCCAAAGCAGATTTCTGTGCAGCAGAATAGTCACACTGGTCACACTTGTAGGGTTTTTCACCTGTGTGGGTTCTCATATCACGGTGGTAAAATCTGGGCTGAAAAGTTCCCACATGTCATAGAACTCGAACTGTGTTCGATCGTGTTCGATCTGGGGAATTCGAATCGAACCCGCGTTCTATTTCGGGGTCACCTGCGGTCATTTACTATAAAGCGGCAAAACAAGCCTTTCTACCTCCGTGCATTGCAACAGATAAAAAACAACACTTTTCTATAGATACAAACAGTTTCCTGGACAGTACATGTCCGCTTTTATTTTTGGTGGACATGTAACATGTAGCGAAGCTACTGTCGTATCCTTGAGTGACCTTGAATACTGTAATGATTCTTTACGCCAGTATGAATAACACAATGCACACTTTCTGGCGATATGACATGTCTCCAAAACTCGTTCAAACCTGGAAACATGGAGAGTCAAACATACCCCATTTACGGCTCAAAATGACTGTAACGGTTGTCCCGAAAATCGTGTTTTAGGGATTTTTGAAAAATGGCCTCAATTTTGAATTATGGGTAATTTAGTGAGAAAAATAGTCAAAAATGCCATTTTTTCACCAATATGTCGACAAAAACTAGACTTAAAATCAGAAATTAAAAAATCCCTAAAACACGATTTTTTGTCTTATTCCTAGTCTGCGAAAAATATAAAAATCGGGGATCTGGGGTAATATACGTAGCCAGGTTTGAATGATGTTTGCCTAAAAACGCGACATGACTTGTGCTCGGAAACCCGAAAATAATCGTCTTTCTGAGCGAAATTTTTGAAAATCATTGATTTAACATAAAAAGCTATCATTTAAAGGATGTTAAGACGATAATTTCATTTTAACTTGACGAAATTTACCCCTAAATATTATTTGTGTATTTTCAAATATTTTACGGGTAGTCCAAAACAGGCCAAAATAGCGTGTTGTAACCCGATACCTTTTAGAACGCGCATAGCAATGGGAAAGAATGCCGTAGTGACAGACCGCCGTGTATGTCGGGATAATTTAGACTTGTAAGCCGCCCTGTACCCACACTCCCCACACATGTAGGGTTTCTCACCAGCATTATCCAAGTTGACTTGTTGCGCTGCCGCCTGGTCTTCAGCATTGCTTGTTTTGCTGTCACAGTCGACCTGGGAAACCCCGGTGGGAGACCCATCACACCAGTTCTGACCAACTCCGGTGGGAGACCCGTGTCCTGCCATTGCCATGTTCAGCCTAATGAAAAAAAAATTGACGAAATTATCAAGATTAAGCGTTATAAGCTGTCAATTATGAGATAGAATTTATAGAAAACAAGCTTCAGTAAATTCTAACTTCACCAAGTTTTACAATTTAAACCAAATGCATTACAACGTAACGCAACATAATTCTAACGTGTTGTCTTTCTCGCATTTGAATACATTTACTTCAAAATAATGCTTCAAAATCATAATGCACGAGATCTTACTATCACCTACTCACACCACCAATCTCTTAAAATAAAGAAGCTGCCAGTACTAGTATTCTAGTTTAGGTAAAGTAGAAGACGAGATACATTTTATTGTGGACTGTTCCATGTATGACAGCGAAAGAAACATTCTTTTCGATTTTGTGTCAAGCAAATACTCCCAATTTAAGTATTTGAATAGTATAGAGAAATTTATATTCCCTGCAGTACTTAACAAACCAGCTCTAACTACTCATACAGCCAGCTACATTTATAAGATTACCAGAAAGCGAGAGGAAGTTGAAGATTACCAGAGAGCGAGAGGAAGTTGAAAGTACTTGTGTACTATAGCCGTTTTATTATCAACATTGATGTACTTTGTCAATATGTGACCTGTCTTTAGCCCAGTGGGGCAAAATGTACAATAAAGGTCTTCATTCATTCATTATCTATTACTTCTACGACTACGAACAATGGGTAAAATGACCCCATTCGATACGCTGGAAAGACAGTCGGCAGTATAGCCTATAGGTTTGGTCACCAGGCTTCTCTATTTACTGTTTTTACAAATCAGTTCTACGAGTTTTAAGATTTTGTAATGTACGTCTTGTGCGATTCTTTACAATACAATTAACATTTCCACTTTGCCTGATGCAAATCGGCGTACATGTAAGTGGCGAGGGTCGACGTATGTTTGGTTTCGCCCCCCTCCCCCTTTAATTCAACGATATTCACATTCTGAAAATGCCTACAAATTATCATCCTACTGCGGTTCTTCTTCCACAGAAATGGTCTTAAACTATTCCAATCAACATCAGAATACTTTTGTGTCCGTTTCTAAGCCTTACCTGCTTCCTATGACGGTTTTTCTCTTCACGTAAACCGGAACTCGGGAGCTTTGTCCTTCCTTCGTCTAGTGAGGTCAGGAGAACTCGATCTGGGTCAAGGGTGAAATTGTCAACCTGATTACCCATGTAGTACATTTGACGTCAGTCGGCACGTTACGCGTTTCTTCATAATGTGAACGTTCTGCGTTTCAAACCCACCACTTTAAGAACGTAACAAGCGTCTACCTTTTGTTTCTGATCTAATACGAAAGAGAGATTTTTAGGGAAGAAATGTCAAGCCAAACTGTTTGGTCTGAATCTTGACTTCTGTGTTTTATGATCAAATCACCGCCTCGGACAATATTCCATCCAAGGGAAAAAATGCAACACAGAAGGAAACAACATGATCAAGGTACGTAATGATTTAATTTTGTTAGCGGAAAGTTTCTATGGATATATCTTCTAACAGTAATGCAAAATAAACATGAACTTGAACTCGTATACAACATAACGCCTACGTTTTAACAACAGTGAAATACTTTCTACTGTTGGAAACTGAAGCAAGTCGGTCATTTTACACCGATCCTAATTAGCATAAAGATTTTACTACAAACCAAACGCTAGTTTTTCATGAGTATATGTCAGTCAAAAGATATTATTGTGTCTGTAAGACATACAGGCAAATACTTAGACAAAGTGAAGTATTAACAGGAAATAGAAGCTCCTTCGATGGCTTCATTCAAACAAACTCAACATTAATACAATCACTTACAGATGTTAATTGCTCTATATGTACATTATCCAATCAATACCAACAAAATTTGGTGTTCTACCACAAATTACGTTTACTGTTCAAAGATTACAAATCTGGTTATCAAATGATGGATTCGTTTCCAAAATATATGATTGATAGTTAATTATATAAAGTAGAATTATTATTGTAACTAAACCACAGTTTTACAGTGATTAAAATGCAGTTGACAAAAGTGCCTACGACATTTCGTCAAAAAAACTTGCGTATTTGCAAATATTAGTTGCATATCTTATAATAAATCATGTAGTTAGCCTCAATGGTTTCAAAATTATTATACTGTATCCGTAAGCTACAAATAGTCTGAAGATAGAAAAGCTATACTTAAGAGAAGACTATGAACATTAAATGTCACTACGAGATGGTCACAGTTGCAGACTTGGTGCCTCTGTATGGATTTTTATATGTCAAGATAGGATAGCATTAGAGGCTGCAGAATAGCTACACTGGCCACACTTGTAGGGTTTTTCTTCTGTATGGGTTCTCATATGTCTGGATAAGTCAGACTTGTTAGCTGTTCTGTACCCACACTCCCCACACCGGTGTGTGTTGCTAGATGTTTGTCCAAAGCAGATTTCTCTGCTGTAGAATAGTCACACTGGTCACACTTGTAGGGTTTTTCTACCGTATGGGTTCTCATATGTTGGGATAAGGTAGACTTTAAAGCTGTCCTGTATCCACACTCCCCACACATGTAGGGTTTTTCACCGGTGTGTTTTAGTACATGTCTGTCCAAATGAGCTTTCCGTGCTGCAGAATAGTCACACTGGTCACACTTGTAGGGTTTTTCTCCTGTATGAGTTCTCATGTGCCGGCTTAAGGTGGACTTGTGAGCTGTCCTGTACCCACACTCCCCACACATGTAGGGTTTCTCACCAGTGTGTTTTGCTAGATGATTGTCCAAACTGGATTTCTGTGCAGCAGAATAGTCACACTGATCACACTTGTAGGGTTTTTCTCCCGTATGGGTCCTCATATGTCGGGATAAGTGAGACTTCTTTGTTGCCCTGTACCCACACTCCCCACACATGTAGGGTTTCTCACCGGTGTGTTTTGCTAAATGTTCATTTAAGTGAGATTTCCGTGCTGCAGAATAGTCACACTGGTCACATTTGTAGGGTTTCTCACCGGTGTGTTTTGCTAGATGTTTATCCAAATCAGATTTCTGTGCTGCAGAATAGTCACACTGGTCACACTTGTAGGGTTTTTCTCCTGTATGGGTCCTCATATGTCGGGATAAGTGAAATTTCTTAGTTGCCCTGTACCCACACTCCCCACACAAGTAGGGTTTTTCTCCTGTATGGGTCCTCATATGTTGGGATAAGTGAGATTTCTTAGTTGCCCTGTACCCACATTCCCCACACATGTAGGGTGTCTCACCAGCGTTATTCAAGTTGACGTGTGCCGCCTGGTCTTGTCCATTGCTTGTTTTGCTGTCACAGTCGACCTGAGAAACCCCGGTGGGAGACCCATCACAGCAGTTCTGACCAACTCCGGTGGGAGACCCGTGTCCTGCCATTGCCATGTTCAGCCTAACGAAAAAAAAACGAAGAAATTATACAGATTAAGCGCTATAAGCTGTCAATGATAAAATAGAACATATAGAAAACAAGCTTCAAAGAATTCTAACTTCACCAAAATTTACAATTTTAACCAAATGCATTACAACGTAACCCAACATAATTCTGACATGTTGTCTTTCTCGCATTTGAATAAATTTGCTTCTATGTTGTTCCAAAATCATAATTTGTGAGATTTTACAATCACTTGCTCACACCACCAATCTCTTAAAACATTTTATATCATATTAATTTATTACTTCTACGACTACGAACAATGGGTAAAATGACTCCATTCTCTAGGCTGGAAAGAGAGTCGGCAATATAGCCTATAGGTTTGGTCACCAGGCTTCTCTATATGTCTATTTACTGTTTTACAAATCAGTTCTAAGCGTTTCTAGATTTTGTAATGTACGCCTTGTGCGATTCTTTACAATACAATTAACATTTCTATATAATTTCACGTACTCTAAAAAGGCCACTTTGCTTTATGCAAATCGACGTACATGTAAGTGGCGAGGGTCGAACGTATGTTTGGTTTCGCCCCCCTCCCCTTTAATTCAACGATATTCACATCCCGAAAATGCCTACAGATTATCATCCTACTGCAGTTTTTCTTCCACAGAAATGGTCTTTATCTTTTCCCCTCAACATCACAATACTTTTCTGTCCGTTTCTAATCCTTACCTGCTTCCTATGACGGTTTTTCTCTTCACGTAAACCGGAACTCGGGCAGCTTTGTCCTTCTGTCGTCTCGAGAGGTCAGAGGTGAATACCCTTTGGGTCAAAGGTGAAGTTGTCGGCCTGATTACCCATGTAGTACATTCGACGTCGGTTTGAACGTTAAGCTTTGTTCATAATGTCAACGTTCTGCGTTTAAAACCGACCACCTTACAACGTAACATGCGTCTGACGTTTGTTTCTGATCTACTTTAAAAAAGATAATTTTAGGGAATGAATGTCAAGCCAAACTGTTTGGTCTGAATCTTGATTTCTGTGCTTTATGATCAAATCACCACCTCTGACAATATTCCATCCAAGGAAAAAAGGCAACACAGAAGGAAACTTTATGTTCAAGGTACAAAACTAGGTATTACAGAAGAGGTAAACATTATTACACGATTTAATTATGTCAGTGGAAAATATCTAAATCTAGATACATCTTCGAAACAAAAACTCCAAAACTGGAAATTTACTTGTATACAACCTATCGTCTACCTTTCCACTCGCGTAAAATTGCTTCGTACTTTGGAAACTGAAGCACATCAGTTATTTTACACTGATACAAATCAATACTATTAACAAATCCTAGTAGTTTAAAGAGTTGATAGTCACAAGATATAATTGTGTTTGTAGGACATATAGGAAAACACTTCGTGACAGGAACTACTAGTAGATACACAGGAAATCTAAGCTCGTACACACACAACACTAACGTCTACATTCCAACTACTGTGTACAAACACAGCACTAATGTCTACCTTTCAGCTTCAACTACTGTGTACAATCACTTACCGATGTTAATTACTGATTATGTATATGTACATTATCCAATCAATACTATAACGCTTACTATTCTCACTCTACAATTCTAGATAGCTAAAATAGATTTTGATATCTCATATTACAACAAACCGAAACTAAGACTTATTCTTGTACCTAAATTATAGCCATAACGTAATTATGGGTTCACCACACCACGAAGTGGTGGTGAACCCATATTGATTTTTCTGATGTTTCTTCTCCTTCTTCTCCTTCTTCTCCTGCCATTTTTTAAATGGATTCAGCTTCTTCATTTTAGGGCCTAACGTCCTGAAATTTGGTATGGAGGTACAGTGGGCAAATACCCCTAGGCGTTTTTTAAATTTTTGTGATGCAGGCTTTTAGAATGGTTTTATTTGAGTTTTTTGGCTGTGTTATAGCAAATGTATTACTGTGTTAGTGTGCCGTGTTTACCACGTCTGGGCATGAGTCATCACAATGGAATGCAGGGCATCAACCAATAGGCATGCAGCTTTCCTCTATACTTCTTGCTGATTGGCTGTTGGGATTTAACTTGATTAACACCTGCACAGAGCATTTCCACCTGCACAGAGCATTTCTTGCTGATTGGCTGTTGGGATTTAACTTGATTAACACCTGCACAGAGCATTTCCATACTGACAGTATGTCTTTATTCAAGTGTTTTGGTAGGTATTTCAAGCTTTTCTGCTCCAGCATTGGAATGCGGGGCATGAACGTTTTTTTTTATTTTGAAAATCAACAGTTTGCATTATGCAATTAAAAATCCTAACCAATAAAGTAGGGAATAGCTATCCAACTGTTGTTTTAGTTGTATGTTACTTCATATTATAGTTATATCAATGTAAATCATTGTTTTCCCTTGTGTTTCTCATTCTTTCCCTGCCATGTCGTAAAATGTGGTGAACCCATCGCTGTATTTGCTCCAAAGCAAATATTGGCCTTTCTAGTTAGATATTAAAGTGCCTACTAATTGCCTAATTGCAAACATCATGTATATTATCCAATCAATACTATAACATTTACTATTCTCACGCAATTCTAGGAAGCTAAAATAGATTTTGATATCTGATATTACAACAAAGTGTATGGGCTACTAAGCGAAACTAAGACTTATTCTTGTACCTAAATTATAGCCATAACTTATTAGATATTAAAGTGTACAAGTATAGGGCTTTTTCTTGGGAAAAACCTTTGCCTACTTGCAAACATCATGAATACTTACAGAATATTAAGCCTAAATGTTAATGAACATACGTGTCATATACCCTTAAGTTTCGTGCCAAAATATCAAGTGGCGAAACTATAGTTAACAGCAGACTGTGCGTACTAAATGTCACTACGAGATTATCACAGTTGCAGACTTGGTGCCTCTGTATGGATTTTTATATGTCGAGTTAGGGCAAACTTAGAGGCTGCAGAATAGCTACACTGGTCACACTTGTAGGGTTTTTCTCCTGTATGGGCTCTCATATGTTGGGATAAGTTGGAGCTCACAGCTGTCCTGTACCCACACTCCCAACACATGTGCAGTTTCTCACCGGTGTGTTTTGCTAGATGTCGGTCTAAATGAAATTTCCGTGCTGCAGAATAGTCACACTGGTCACACTTGTAGGGTTTTTCTCCTGTATGTCTTCTCATATGTTGGGATAAGTTTGACTTTTGAGTTGCCCTGTACCCACACTCCCCACACATGTAGGGTTTCTCACCAGCATGTATTTCTAGATGTCTGTCCAAATTAGCTTTCTGTGCAGCAGAATAGTCACACTGGTCACACTTGTAGGGTGTTTCTCCTGTATGGGTTCTCATATGTTTAGATAAGTGAGACTTGCAAGCTGTCCTGTACCCACACTCCCCACATATGTAGGGTTTCTCACCTGTGTGCTTTGCTAGATGTTGGTCCAAATCATATTTCCGTGCTGCAGAATAGTCACACTGGTTACACTTGTAGGGTTTTTCTCCTGTATGGGTTCTCATGTGTTGGGATAAGTTAGACTTTTTAGCTGTCCTGTACCCACATTCCCCACACATGTAGGGTTTCTCACCAGTGTGTTTTGCTACATGTTCCTCTAAATGAGATTTCCGTGCTGCAGAATAGTCACACTGGTCAACCATTGCTTGTTTTGCTGTCACAGTCGACCTGGGAAACCCCGGTGGGAGACCCATCACAGCGGTTCTGACCAACTCTGGTGGGAGACCAGTGTCCTGTCGTTGCCATGTTCAGCCTAACAAAAAAAATGAAGAAATTATACAGATTAAGCGTTATAAGCTGTCAATGATAAGATAGAATTTATAGAAAACAAGCTTCAAAGAATTCTTACTTCACCAAGCTTTACAATTTTAACCTAATGCATTACAACGTAACCCAAGATAATTCTGACGTGTTGCCTTTCTCGCATTTGAATACATTTGCTTCTATGTTGTTACAAAATCATAATTTGAGATCTTACAATCACTCACTCACACCACCAATCTCTTAAAACATTTTATATCATATTATTCATTACTTCTACGACTACGAACAATGGGTAAAATGACCCCATTCGATACGCTGGAAAGAGAGTCGGCAGTATAGCCTATAGGTTTGGTCATCAGGCTTCTCTATTTACTGTTTTTTCAAATCAGTTCTACGCGTTTCTAGATTTTGTAATGTACGCCTTGTGCGATTCTTTACAATACAATTAACATTTTTTATATAATTTCACGTACTCTAAAAACGACCACTTTGCCTGATGCAG